TTTTTTTTACTTTTTTCAATTTCATATTTTTAATTCTACTCTAATAAATAATCCCAAATCTTTTCAATCTTGACGGACGTCTTGCTGAAAGTACCAGCGAAGTCGTAAGTTTACCTTGGTCAGCCGGACGTACAACCGTCATGAATTGCAGTGTAACAAGCTTGGTGGCTCAAACATTAATCTCACTTCATCGCGAATATAGGTATAAATATTCGCATATAATTGGCCACCACTACTTTTGGTTAAAAAAAATGTAGTAGTACCGATTACAGGTTTTCGTCCCGCTTTTGTGTAAAAAGTTCAGCTAAACCTCATAGAACTTGCCATTTTAAAGGTAAAAAAAGAGGATTATTGGTTAAATTAATAAAAAGGACGAGCAACGCGGGTATTGTTTTACTTAGTAGAATACTAAAACTTTAGCCCGACACCCGAATAGAGCACACTGTATAGGCGGATTAACCAAAGAAACAAATTAAACGATAAATTAAATAAATATAAACAAAAGTGTGTTTTGCTGGAGTACAAAAACAATTCAAAAGAAAGTTAACCCAGATATTAAAGAAACACGACATGAATACCGCAAACATAAATTTACTAGCATTCGAAGCAAGCGAAGAAAATTTGGGATACACTAAAGGGTTTTATCACCCAACGAAACAATATTTACAAAGGAAATGAGAATTTAAGACTCCCTGACCTATGTTTCATTAGAAAATAAATTTAACCCACATTTTATTGCCTCTGGAGCATCCCAGTAATCAATTCACGCTAGGGCAGAGTCCTATATGTCCCCGAAAACGTATCCAGCTAAGTCTTCCTGTCATCTAAGAGCGAACAGGAAGTATCTACTATGTTTAATGCCCCGATCAAAAATACTGTAGCAGGCTAATATGAGCTAAAAGCTGAACCTTTTCAAGTAGTATCATTTAATTTCCGCACCACTACCCTATATTTCTAACTCTGTACGAACCAAAGGTATTTTACAGTGGAGCTGTTAAGGGCTAGGTTCCCCAGGATCGTGTCCGGTACCAAACAGATGTCGACACAAAACTCTGGACAGCTACCGCCATCTATGAGGGACGGCGGCAACCCGACAACCGGCCTTGATCATAGATGGCGGCAACCCTTCCACTCTGGTGGAAACCAGAGTGGAAAGGTTGAATTTTTCTAGGCGTCGTCCTCGATGTCGTCCTAGAGGCTGTCCTCGAGGTCGTCCTAAAAGTCATACTTGAGGCCGTCCTAGGAGTCGTCCTTGAGGTGTCTAGATGTCCTCCCTGAGGTCGTCCTCTAGGCGTCGTTCTTGAGGTCGTCTGACCACAGTACAGCTTCGCTGGTCTTCCTTCTTCCCCAGAGTGGAAGGCTGAAAGTTTTTTCCTCACAGAATGAAAATTGTAAGGGTTGGCGTACTGCACAAAGGTGGGCCACCAACCGATTTTCGTAATTACCGACCAATATCAGTTTTACCGTTGTTCTCGAACATTATAGCGCGTTATAGAACCACAAGACTTAGTCACTCCCTCAATACAAAAACTTAATTGTTCATCAGCGATGACTTTTAAATGAACAAATCAACGGAAACGGTTTTATTGCACGTAAAAGATAAAATAATGAACGATTAATCTCTTCACTTAAACTTAAACTTTAGTAAGGCATTTGCCTTTATTAAGCATAACATTCTTCTGAGGAAATTGCCTAGATACAGAATAAGAGGTGCAGCGTTGGAACTGATTCAAAGTTATCTCTCCGTCCGTTCACACTACGGTTATAAGTGGCATACAATCTCAACCAGGAACAATTGCGTACGGTGTTTCAAATAGATCTACTTTAGGTCCGCTGTCATTTATTTTGGACAGGGTGTCCCCTAAAAATTTACAAGGTTTTTTTGTTTTTTTTTTAACCGCAAAAATAAATGATGCATCGCCAAACTCCGATTCTCCGCCCAAATGTAGCGCTAAAGACTTGAACCAGATACCAAAGTTTCAGCACTAGCCGTTCTTATTCAAAAGTTACGATTTTCTGAAATTTTCAATGGGAAAATGGCGGCCGACCGTGCTCTCGAATGCATGAAGCTCTATATGGCACCAGTTACCGAAAACGGGCGAATATGGGCCCCATTTTTCCATTGAAAGTTTCAGAAAATAACCTATCACTTTTTAATAAGATAAGCGTTAGTGCTCAAACTTTGCCATCTGGTTAGGACCCCTAGCGCTACATTTGGGCGGAGAATAAGCGTTCGGCGATGCGTAATTTATTTTTGCTGTCAAAAGAACCTTGTAAATTTTTGGGGGCCATCTTATATTAATGATATTGCCACGCGCGGAGCCGGCCAAGTAGGCAACGCGCTCGTGGCCTAAAGGTTATCGCGCTTGCCTTGCACGGAAAAAGCCAAGGTTCGATGCCTGGCCACGGGTACCTATCTTTCTTGACTCTGTAATGTGATGATCTGGTAAATTCGAGAACCGTGTTGCTGATTCGAGGTTAGAATGTTATGCGCGTCGAACCTTTACCCCGATTCTTCCACAAGCCCACGCGTGAACAAAAGGGGCTCCGCGTGGCGAGCCGCAGTCAGCCTCACCCCAGCGTTCGATCCTGCTGTTACGCCGACTTCGACGACCGCGACGCTCTGTTGTCATTCTGTTTCCTTTCTGGTTTTTTGCAGAAGTTTGCCCCATTAAATGTTTCAGTGTCCTCAGTTATTCCTTGTTTCGTCACCTCATCATTCGTGACATTTTGGTGCAGGTGCGGGGTAACGCATGTCCATGCAGCGCACCCCTCCGAGGACCCGCATGCAAGTCCGAACCCAAGCCCCCGAGGACATAACGAAGGCCAGACCGAGACCTGATCAAGTCGCCGAAACCAAGGCCTACCCACGGAATTTGAACCCTTGCCACTCAAGACCAAGCAGTCAACAAGGCCGACGATGAACAACCAGTCATCGCAGACCCCGGCCGTTGCCGCCGTCGTATACCTTCCCGTCGCACCCCGGTCTCCGACGCCTTTCCACGGGGAGGTCCACGAGGACACTGAAGACTAGCTGCAACACTATGAATGTGTGGCCCGCCATAACAGGTGGACAGCTGACCAGTGCTTGCAGAACATTTACTTCTCGCTGGAAGGGACTGCAAGGTACTGGCTGGAGAACCACGAGACTTCTTTAACTTCGTGGGAGGTGTGTAAGCTAGAACTGAAGAAGCCGTTTACCAGCTAACACCGACGCGGGAGGGCCGAAGACATCCTTCGAACAAGGACCCAAGGCCCAAATGAGAGCATCACCAGTTTTGTCGAGGATGCTCTTTGCCTGAGTGCCCGCGCCGACCCTCAGGCTACCAAGGAGAGGAAGCCGCGCCCCCTGAAGAGGGTGTGAAGAGCGAGATATTCGGAGGTCTTATCCGCAATCCCCTAACGACAGTCGACAAATTCGTCACGGAGGCGGCCAATATGGAACGGGCCCTACTAGCACGCGCCAGACACTACCAGCGACACCCTGGCGTCGTCCGGATCCGACCTTGGTACCGACTTCATCGGCATCCGTGACATAATCCCTGAAGTCGCCCGGGACGAGGTGTTGCCGTTCGTCACATTTGCCTACAACACGGCGTGCAGGAGACCACACCGGGGTTACACCCTTTCAGCTGGTTCATGGTCGCAAAGTAACGACAATGCTGGACGCGATGTTACCCCACGAAACGGCTGTCAACGGGAGTGACAAAGCCCAGGTGGTTACCCAACGGGCAGAAGTCTGTCAGCTCGCCAGACTCCGGCGGCCGGTGTCGACAACGTGTCGACACTGGCCACTAGAACCTTCGTCGCCGGGACGTCCACTTCCAGCCCGAAGACAGGGTGTGGGTCTGGACACTGATTCGCCGCCGCGGTCTCAGCGAGAAACTCCTGAACGGTATTTCGGGCCTTCAAGGTACTTGGAGGACTTTGAGATCTGAACTACGAGGTGATGCCCGACGGAACAAGGACGCCGCCCACCACGACCTGAAGTCGTCCACGTCGTGCGCCTGAAGCCGTACTTCACTCGATGGGACTGTGAACGTTACGTGTTCCAAACGACTCTTTAGTTTGCCATTCTTTTTATTTGCTTTGTTTTACGTTGCATCGGGGCGATGCACTTCTTAAAGGGGGCAGTAATGCCGCGCGTGCAGCTGGCCAAGCAAACGGCACGCTCGTAGGATAACGGTTATCGCGCTTGCCTTCCTGGCCGCGGGTACATATTTTTGTTGACTACGTAATGTGATGTTCTGGTAAATTCGAGAATCGTGTTGCTGATTTGAGGTTAGAATGTGCTACGCGCCGATTGTTCGAAAAGCCCACGCGTGTACAAAAGGTGCTCCGCGTGGCAAGCCTCAGTCAGCTTCGCCCCGACGCTCGATCCTGCTGCTTCGCCGACATCGACGCTAACGTTATTCTATTTTATTTTGGGCACAAGTTCGCCCGTTTAAACGTTTCAGTTTCCTGTTATTCCTTGTTCGTTACCTCGTCATTCGTGACACTATATCAATTCAACTGAAACCAAAGAACCCATTGAGTGGCAGAACCCATTGCAAGCATTGTATAGCACACTGGCCAAGGTAAATCCTCAACATGCCTTTCCAGAATGCAGCAGCTACCGCTCTCAATTGCAGCACACTTTGTATGGACGTTTGCAATTTTTTTTTTCTAATGCTTTTGTCTTTGATGGAACGACTTGCTGTTCCTGGATGTTTTACATCACCATTGTGTCTTCATTTCTGACCAGTAAAGAGAACGAGGTAAGTTCCATTAGAGGACCGAGGGCACACTTTTACCATCCGAGGATCTTACAGTACGTTCAACTTCGCAAGCGCCAAAATATCCGTGTACCATGCCGTTGTAGCCAGGCAATTCTGTCAAGTTCAACTTAGCTGGGGTTTGTTCCAACTTGCTCACTCGCTCACATGGGATTGTTAGGGAGGCTATCTGAGGCGCACCTTCGCAACAATGAACGAAAATATTGACACACACGATGCAGAGAAACAAGTTTGGGACCTTCCCACAGAACACAATGACCCCGGGCACAGTCGAACATCCACAGGGACGCCGTGTCTGTAAAAGTTCCTCTTTATTTCCGGGGATGGGGATCGGGGGTCGCCCGTGGCGTCCAACCCCCGCCGCACCGTAACGCTAACAACCGGTGCCGTGGAGTCGCGGGGAACGCACGCGGGACCACCGGCGGGCTGCTACCGACTCGCACCTAAACCGCGTTTCGCGCGGGCCGCCGGCCGACATGACGGGCCCCGTCGTCTACCATGCACTAGAAAGCCCGGCGCCGCGCACACCGAGCGCCACTCAAAACGTAGAACCTCCGCGCGCGCGTCTTTCGCCGGTGGTGCGGTCCGAATCGGGGAATGGCAAGGGGATATGTTGGCACGAACGAGAAAGCGGGCAGACGCCGCGGACGAAGCTCGCAACTAGGAGACGGGAAGTGAGAAACACGCCGTCGGCGGCGCCCTTCGCGAGCGCAGCGGGTGTCCTCCTCGTGCGGTGGCCCGCGGTCCGAGGCCCCAAGGGAAGCGCCTCGCCAGCCAGCCAGCGGCTTTTGGGACCCAGCCCCGGCAGAGAGCGGCTCCCCCGGAGCCTCCCACCCCCGGACCGCACGCGCGCTGCCCACCCGAGTGCGAATAGAAAACGGGCGCGATAAGAGGGGCGCAATAAATAAGTCTGCTGCGGCGTGGGCGCGCAGTGGGGAGGAACGGCGGCAGGCTGCCGCGGAAGCACGCTCATCAGGAGTTGAGCAAGGAGGCCATTTCGTGCTGGAGGTCCCGGAGCTCGTGCAGTTTGAGCGAGAACCGCTGGTTCAGTTGCTCCCAGGCGCCCTGGCGGCCCCTCGAAGAGCTGCGCGAGGCCTCCAGCTGCTCTTGCAGCCGCGTCACCGTACCCTTGAGTCCGTCGTTCTCCGACAAGAGCGCCTGTCCGGCAAGACAGACGGTCAGCTACCGAGGCGAACCCCTGCTGCCCCGTAGGGGGGACCCACCTTGAGCCTGTCGTCCGCCTTGTGGACACCCGTTTGCGTCTGGTCCTCCAGCTTGCGCTTCAGCACCTCCAACTCCTGAAGGGAAACAGAAGCCATCGGCTTCGTCAACTCCATCTCTCGTCACCGGTCGTGCTTCAACTAAACGACACTGTTTCACCAGAAGTGCGAGAGAAGTCGATGCCGCAGGCATCGGCTTAAATAGACGTGGGCGGCCTTTCTACGCAACATTTCGTGTATTTTAAGAGGCGGAGAAGGAGGAATTTCTATGACCATCATGAATATATGCAGCACTGCAGTAAATGTAAAGTACATGTAAAGTTGGATATGTCGTGTCACTCTCCTTTGAAGCAAGCGGCTGCTCGCGACTCCTCTCGTCACTGCGGGGGCCTCTTCATTGCTCTTCTAAGTGCTCGAACGCCAACATTGTCACATTGAGGTTCCTCCGGGCACATGGCACTCCAAGACCCATCAGGCCGCACTCAAAGAACCGGAAGCTAATCTCAAATTACAGAGGCTACAAGCTTCTATACCAAATAACTTCTGCAAGCGATGAAGCAACCAAGAATCTAGGGGGCCTTTACGTTACATTATGGCACTTCAGGGGCGTGCAGGCAATGTGTGGTTCTGCGACAATCAATCATATTTGCGTTACTTTTTTTTTCATCCAGTGATATTTTGAGGTACAACTGTTGTGATATTTGGATTCGAGAGGCAGGAATATGCCAATTCACCATTAGTTAATTTTTTCTTTATTACCTCTTCTGTTGCACATGGGATATTGCCTTAGATACAAGGTCAGCTGGAGACGCACCTTGTCCTTCTGCTTTCCCTCACGGTCCAGGAGGTCGGAGCGGGTGCGCAGGCTGCCGATCTCCTTGCGCAACTCGGCAATGGCGTCCGGGTTCCCGTGGCTCGCCTCCAGCTCTATCATCTGCGCACGGGAAGACGAAAACGGTAGGTGGGGAAGTCCGACCAGTACCCTACTACAAGTAGGGAATGCTCGATGTAGAGGCCAAAGGTAAAAAGGGTCGAGTGACTAGGCGAGCAGACGTGCACTTGACCAGACACTATGTGTAGCAACGCTTGCGAATGTAATATTCACACGGCCTTAAAACAACAACCAAAACTGAAAAATACACAAAGAGAGAATCGGGTTTAGTGGTTGTCCCTTCCTATGTGCTTCACAGTTCCAGAGTTTTCTTTTCTTTTTTTCTAGGACAAACAGACCAGTTCGTTTGTGTTTTATGTATATATCGTAAAATCCCCATAAGGACGCCCTCCCCCAAGAGATCAATTATCCCATTTTTCTGGCTAAATATCTGTAACAAAAAAATTCCGAAAGATCGCCCACCCTCCGATTCCCGTCGGAAGTCACGCGATGTCCGACGGAAATCGCATCAAATCTGCGGTACCAGTGCGTCTGACAAGCGAGTTCGTAGCAGGTTCCCGCGTTTTTGTCCGCAATCTGCGCGTGCGATATTGGTTCCCGTAACACTCGAGTTGTTCCAGGGTGTATATTGCATCATGAAATGCGAACCTGCACCGTCCGCGGTCTGCGGGATCCGTTCTCGTGGCATGCGAGTTTGTAGTGGATTCCCGCGTCTTTGTCCGCGATCTGCGCGTGCGATATCGGTCCCCGTGACAAGCAAGTTTGTAGCGGGTTCCCGCGTGTTTATTGTACCGTGAAACATGAATCTGCTCTGTCCGCGATCTGCGGTATCCGTTTCCGTGAGATGCGAGTTCTCGAAGGGTTCCCACGGGTCCCTCACACCATGAAACGCGAATCTGATGCGTCCGCAAACTGCGTATATCCTTTCCCGTGACACAACAGTTTGTAGCGAAGTTTCGAGTGTTCATTGCATCGTGAAACGCGATTTTACCGTGTCCGCGATATCAGTTCCCGTGTCACGTGATTTGTAACTGGTGCCCAGGTGTTTATCACTTATTTGTGATAAAGTTTTCCTGTTGCATCCCCCCAAAAAAGCCAACCCCATGTTTTTCACCATATATCTCTTCATCTTGGGTGGGAGTTGTTACGAGATTTTACGGTAGTCATTTACATTTCACAACACGGTGACGTTATCATACAATGCAACTATGCCATGTGCACTAAAGGGCTTCAGTAGTAAGGATGTAGGGTTATGAAGCATATTCTTGTTGTATGTATGCTTCCAGCATTTGCTTTGTACATGCTACAATCTAAAGTACAGCACAGGCACAAATAGTATCCTGGTTCCAGTGAGAATAAATTTGATTATGGTCCAGCAATTGCAACATGCTTGCACTTGACATTCTCCCCTGAAAACAGGCGAGCCATGCATTCTGAAGAAGAGAGCCAAGGAACCCTGCACCAACAGGTAGGCTGCTCACTTTGCTCCGCATGGCAGCATTCTCCTCCTTGAGCGCCTGTAGCTGCCGTTTCCACTCTTCCACGTTCGAGGTGCTCTCCTGTAGTGCACATGTAAGCCGGGCATTGTTGTTCTTCAGCGTCTGCAACTCCACCTCCCACTTCTTGGCGTTCGCCGAGCTGCAAGCACAGCAAAAGCAACATTCTTGTTTAACATGACCTGTTGTTGGGCTAGTAAGTGCATGATGCTTGGGAAACTTGTAAACACACACAGGGACATACACAAAGAAGACATGAAAAAGTGCTTGTACATGTCCCCTTCTCCATATCCGCCTCTGTTTGCGCTTACAAGCTTCCTGAGCAAAGGCACTTGTGTCTCTGCTATATTACTTGATGACAAACAGATAACATGGAAGTAGAATGCAATGTTCATCTCCTTAGATGCCAGGCAGTGTTGGTGATGATAGCAGGCTCATGGCTAGAAATAGGTTTGCTTCAGTGAAAATGTTTCAAACTTCAAACACCATTTGATGGTGAGGACACGGGAGTCGTTTCTTTTCCGATGAAGTGCCTAGCCAACGTTCGATGGAAGAGTTAGTCAGCAAGCAGGCAGGTTAAAGTTACATATAATAAAAACCGAGGAAGAAAACACAAAAAAAGGAAGATGCACACATATTGTGTTTGGCCCCATGTTGTGCTTTCTTTAAACCAGGTTCTGATATGTGAAATATAGCAGGATGCGGCAATTTCACATCCAATGACACTCTATTGGTTGCCATTCCACATACTTTCTCAGCTAGGTTAGAGTTCAATTTACCCCTCTTTTAACTTTCGATTCACCGAGTGATCATGTTGAGGTACAGAAGAGCATACATACTGCAAGTGAAAACAATTGAGATTTTATCACCCCAACAAAGACGCATGTGGATAAAAGTACCCTACAGTTAGGTGCCTTTTCCCCAAAACAAACTGACAGAAAACAAAGCATTGAGGCAAAACCAATGACATAATAACCCTTTTAGTTTATTGTATCTCCTGTGCAGCTGCGCTAGACACATATAAAAAAAATTAACTTTTTTTTTAGCTTTCTCAAATATTTTTGTGCTTAGCCGCCGAGACATGGCCCGACCCACTTTTCTTTATGAATTTCAGGTGGCAGGGGGGTGGGCGATGACTTGGGATATTACGGTACCCCCCTTTTCGTTCTGTCACTCAACGAAACCTGTCACGTAACAGGACACTACAGCCACTGATCGTGACGTCGCGCCTTCTTTCGGTTTCCCTTCTTAACAACATCGAGCCGCTCTCAGAGGAGACACCTCGAGATGCCTTAAATGGCACGACGCAACCGACACGACGCCAACAGGTGGGACGGTGGGAGAGGAAGCAACGTGTAGACAACGAGGAGGGTGGAGGAAAGAGAGCCTTAAAGAGATGGTATTCCGATCCTTGCACTGCGACTCGTCTATCGAGCGAGTTGCAATACCTGAATTTCCAGAGGCGTTTTATATGCTTTATTTTTCAAATCAAGTGTTGAAAGTTTGCAGATATTTTCACGGGGAGGTTTTTGCACCTGCTACAGGGTTTTGGTATGAAACTAACAACCGCCATTTTAGGCTCGAGAGGCCCTTTGAAATGTGCTCTGGCGTTTTAATTACGGTACCCGATTTTCTTCGAAGTTGACCAAACAGATGTTGTTGAACCAGTAAGCCAAATGTTAGGCCAAAATAGTTTATTTGTGCAAAGTTATTGAATTTACAATGTTAGCACTCACCATTTTGTTTCTCAAACTGAAAGTATCTACTAGCAACAATAACAAGTGATGCCAGTGGTAGGCTGGGGTTTTACACCTTGGGCAGTAGATTTTGTTTCCAATTGATTACAAGAGGTTTGATGGTGTCAAGTGAATACTTTGAAAGCTCACTTCAGCACTCATGCAGCAGCAAGAAACAAATGTGCGACATACTCGTTTTCTAAACTGCCTGCTTGGCTTGCAAGCCTGCATGCCAGTGACATCCTGGCACTGAAAGCAGCGGGCACATTTGAATGTTGGTTTTGGCATTCAGTTGCCGATTTTACCATAAATATTCTGAATTTCGCGATACGAAGTAGCATGTTGAAAAAGGGAAAGGCCGGGGATTTAGAAAATATTGTAAGATTAGAACAGAATGGAAGAAAGGTAATTACAGTGAGAGCGCAGGCGAACTTGATGAATTACTCGAGACTGGGGCAAAAACTAAGAAACATCAAATGTGGAAGAGAAAGGAATAAGTGACAGCACGACAAAGTCTCAAACTCAGTTAAAAGTTTATTCAGTAAACCTCTTATTTACATGTTTATAAGAGAAGTTTACTGAATAAACTTTTCGCTTTTCTCTTTCTCTTCCACATTTGATGTTTCCAAGTTTTCGCACCAGTCTCGGATAATTCATGAAGATGAAAAAAGGGCGTCAATTTTTTTTGCCTTCAATATTTTTGTTTGATCCTTCTAAACCTAAACAGCTTGCAAGCACTGTACGTGCTCCCGCTAAAAAAAAAGAAAAGAAAAAAATACCTTGTGTATTGACCCTTTATTCCAACTATTTCTTTGGAAACAAAAGCCAATGACTAAAAACATCCATTAAAAAAAAAAAAAAAAAAACATTTGACCGTCAAAGGGTTAAATCTAGGCTCTCCGCTACAAGTCGGATGCATTGAAGTGCCCCCTACCTCTGTGCCAGGGCGAGTTTGAGCCTATCGTTTTCGTAGCGCAGCTGTGCCTCGGCCGTCGACTGGGGCAGCGATGCCTTGTCGCCAGCCCCTCGCGCCTGGTGCTTGGGACTGCTCGCCTGCAGGCCAGAAAGGCTCTGGCTGCGCTGGTGCGCCACCAGGGGCGCCCTCCCGTCGCCCTCGCCGGCCGCGTCGTCCGCGGCGTCGCACGCCGACGGTGGGCGCAGCGTGCCCATCGGCGACGGGCTCGCCGTGCCCGCGCTGCCGTTAGCCTTCTGCGCCGCCAGCCGAGTCGCCTCCTTCACCTCCTGGAACTTCTCGATGAACTGCACGGGAGTCCGCGCAGAGGGGGTCTCAAGGTCGGAGCCACGAGACGTAGGGGCCGGACCCGTACAGATCATTAGAGCTAGCATGCCAGTTCACCGGTGCTCGATGGCGCGAACCACAGTTGAATACATTATTTCTTTTTTTAACTTGAGGCGCCTATACTTTTTCTCCCTCGTTTACTCTCGTTTTCAGCCACCTGGAAAACGTGTTCGGTATGGGCGACTAAAAATAATAAAAAATTTCAACCCGAAAAAAAAAAAAAAAAAGTGAGACAAAACGAGAATGGGTGACGAATTTTATTTCCCCTCAAAAATACTCTCGAGAGGGAATAAAAACCTAGTCAGTAAAAACATACAAGTGTAACTATGGAAACGTGCTAAAATAAAGACGGTGGTGAAAGAAATGAAAATGAGAAACACTGAGAGGTAGGGAGGAGCTAAAAAAAACTACAATTGCAGATTTTTTTATTCTGTTCTGACTGCGCCAGAAAACTTGAAGATATTGAAGAAAAAAAGATAGTGTATTCGTACAATTATTCGACAACCAAAAGTTAAAGGAGTATTCTGCAACTACCTTGCACGTCGCCAGAGTCACGCGCGATTCTCGCAGGCACCAAGCAAAGCCCCGTAAAGCGTGCTTTGCCGCAATAACACCGCTCCTGCGGGGAAGCTCGTTCTACGTGCGCGCCTCCCCAGCCAGACGACGTCCGGTCGAACTCTAATGGCTGGTTCCGACATCTGCAACGAGCACGTCAGCTACGACTGCGTCCCGTCCGCTATGATCAAAGCGACGGGAGCAACCGCTCTTCCCCGCGCGTACGCACTTCTGCAACCACTGCAACAAGCGCAGGATGCCGTCAGGACGGCGGCCTCTTCTCCGCCGGCGCCAGCTGTTTCCGCGGATCCTCTAAAAAGGAGGGGACGCGCTGCCACTCACTGGCGTTACAGAAAATGGACACACAGTTTTCTATAGCCTAACAGCCTAAAGCTTTATTATTATTATTTCGATTTTTTTTCAGGATAGGCTAGCAGGCCAGAGTGGATGAAAAAAGAAAAGAAAAAGATGCAGTGCGCCGTCTTGGACGATCACGACTTTAACACACGACTTTACCGATAGTACAAATCTCGCCACACGCCTTTGCTACGATTGCAAAAGACGATGTAATCTTAGCAGTGATTAAGCAACGTAGAAATATGATGTCGTGATCACATAGGCATTGCGAGCTTTCAGGAATGCTAACACTAATCACTTTTCTCGGGTGATGAAAATGCGTCCAAATCCGCATCCTTCTTATATATGCCTTTAAATACAGTACGCACCAGTAATACCTTGAGCTTGAGCACATGCATGGAATGCGCAAAATGATAACTCCGGGCGATGTTAGAGTACACAAATGCTAAGAAAGCACCACTGTAGTCGATGTAAACGAACACAACGGCACGAGTGTTTCTGCTGTCTTGAGGGTGCCGCCGCAACATCGTCGCACGAGTAGATAGATCTTCCCTTCTATTCGCAACTCCAACGCCCCATAGGTGGCGGGGCGGTAGTTCCAAGATGGCGGAAGAGACGGGGATAGATTCTCCGGGATATCCCGTGCGCCTGCTCGCTGACGCTGTTCAGTGCGCTAAAAAAGGATTTATTTGTCTACAAATGCGAAGCGGTTAGGGAGGGATCATATAACACGTGACGGAGATCCCGATGCACGTTAGGAAAACGAGCATGCTGATATTTTAAAGTTGCAGAAACCTCAAATTGTGAAGCTTTCTGGTGAGCGAGCGCGTTTTATGCACCGGCCACGTTACTGTTTGTGACAGAATATTTCTGAGAGTGATGAAAATATGTTTGCGCTTTGCCTGGACATTAGTGCTCTAAAAAAGAGAGCCGCAAACGGTGACCGTCAAGCTCCGGAAGAGCAGAAATACACATTGGTGTCTTCACGCCACAGCCTCTCAAATCGCTGCTCACCGTCTCAGTTTTAGTGCATTGCAACACGTAATCAAAGTGCTCTATGGTTATTAACAAAAAGTTTATTACCGCACGCTACCATGCGGTGTAGCATTACAACCGCAAGCTCGCGCTGCGCCTTTGAAGCACAATTTTCAGTGCGCGCCAGAAGTGTTGCCGTGCTTATCACTATAAAAAAAAAAAAAGTTGTAGTCCTTACATTCCTTGTCACATATACGACACTCCAAAACTTCAGTTTGCCGTGCAGCCCACTGACGTCAAACTGACGGCCCCAACTTTTGCGAGAGGCTTGATGACGGCGCAATATAAGATATGAAACAGCTAAAGCACGCATCAAAGAGTACCAAAAAAATAAAAAAAAAGCCCCGAGGTTTCGCAGTAGGGCCAAAAAAAAACAAAAACGATTACTCTTTTTTAAGAGTCATTTCCATTTACTTATGCTATTTTATTGAGTCGCACAACTCGGCTATCAAGCCGCTCATGAAAGTTGGTAGCGCCGGTTGAACGCCAGTGCGCTGTACTATCGGGGAAAAATGAAATGCGAACAGAGGAGCGCGTGGCTCGCGGTACAGGATGCGCCGCCTGGAAGTGAGCCTAGGAGCGAGGGTGCGTGGCCTACTCCGACGTGTTCACGCCCCTCCCTCTGCGCTCCCCCAGCTTCGGCAGTGCGCCTGTCAGTGCGCTGAAAGCTATCACCGCTATCTTTGCTGGCTAAGCGCGTGCGGTGCAAAGCTCGCCGCACTCGCCGAGCAGGCAAAGATAGCGGTGACAGCTTTCAGCGCACTGACAGGCGCACTGCCGAAGCTGGGGGAGCGCAGAGGGAGGGGCGTGAACACGTCGAAGTAGGCCACGCACCCTCGCCCCTAGGCTCACTTCCAGGCGGCGCAGCCTGTACCGCGAGCCACGCGCTCCTCTGTTCGCATTTCATTTTTCCCCGATAGTACGTCCAACTGAAGTTTAGGGGTGTCGTACGCTATGCATAAACTGCCTCTTAACATAATCGTCGTGTTTAGGGGTTTTCTTAATTGTTTTATGAAAAAAATATTTTAATATACCGTACATTTGTTTGACCTTGTTACTTGCAACATTGCGGTCCCTCTGGCCAAAACTGCGCGTTTTAAGCTCTCGTCACAAATGGCTGGCTAACACAGACGCGCTTAAAATGCTTCGAGCATTTCTTTATTTGCTTTGTAATTACCTGAAAGCAAGTACGGGTATTCTGTCTTTTTAAAGTGCTTGGAATAAATGGTCATGTTCCTTGTAACGGCCTTAAAACGCGAACCCATTTTCGATTTGTATTGCTCGACATACCGTTGCGCGACGAGTTTGCCCCTACTTATGGCAAAGAATCGACTTTCCTTAGACCGTACTATAGAGTTCTTCATTATTAGCGGGACCGTTTTCCGTCACGTTGAGCACAGATTGAGCTGGCGGCCATGCACAAGATCAGAAATCCGCAGCGTATCCGATACACGAGAAGTCCCTAATGAAATTAGACCCTTATTTCGGTCCTTTGTGCAAGACTGTTGCAAGGCGGAGCACAGAAATTCCTTTTTTAACGCGCTCACTTTTCTCGTTAAAACGGCTTCACGCATCAGGGCCGACAGTCCCTGCCACCGTTTCCGCGCCGCCGTCGCCGCTGCCGTCCCCGCTCCTCTGGTTCTCTGTTCGTCCGCGGGAGGGCGAGCGGCGCGCTGGAGTTGCGATATTACTGGGTTATCATCGCGACACACGACGAGAATTCACAGTCAAGGAAAGCGGTCTACGCGGAACGACGAGCTTCCACCACGCCGACCACGTCGACGATCACCACCGACGCCATGTTTTTCAGCGACTGGCATCCAACGCGCGCAGCCGAGCTCTCCGCGACCCGTGATTGGTCTGTCGGATCGATTGCTCACGTTCAGCTCGGCTCAACGCCTTGCGTTGCGAACGAACACGAACGAAACGACCGTTTGGCGCTCCGTTAACATGGCAACTCGTCGTTCCAACCGGTTGCATTCGTTCGTAAGCGTAGTGGTCGCTCCGAACGCAAATTTGTGAACGGGCCTTTACAGCGTTGTCACACACAGTTGTGATGAGATAACACATAAAATACCTGTAGTAAAGAATAGCAATATCATAAACAATAACTTTATATACACCTATGATAAAAAAAAGATACGTTTTCTCGTAGCAAAGTGGGGAGTTGAGCTAGTTGGTAAGATGACATCATATTAAGACTAGCGCACATGAAGTGAGATAAGATATCATCTTCAAAACAGCGCTCTGTCTTCTCTTCCTTTCCTCGCTGCTTGTCTGCTGTTTTTAATATAACGTTTTCTCGTCTTAGACCTGCGACGTTGAAAGCTTAGGTGCACATATTGTGAGGTGGAATTGGTTTACGCTTACCTTTTCAAACGCTTCCCGCTAAATTTAGTGGGGAAAACACGCGTTACACTTGCGTTTCAATTAATAATGAAATCCTAATCCTAAACACATTCAGTGTAAAAAAGATTTTACACTGTAGGCTTCCTCCTATTATACACACTGGGTGGTGGTCCTACCTTGTTCAGGTCAGGTTCAGAGCCGAAACCCAGGCCGTAGACGGTGTTGGCGCGAATGTCGGACCACTGGCCAAACTTCTGGGAGGTCTTGGTGAACGTCATGTTGGGCGTGATGGTGGAGTTGATGACCGCCTGCGCAACAGAAGGCGCGCCATCGTCACATCCGCTGGGTGGCGCAAGTAGCCGCCCGACTTTCAGGGGAAAGCCGTGTTCATATATTCATCCACTAGACACCTCAAACCTCGCTGAGCGGGGTAAACACGGCGCAGAACTAGCGGAGTTAATTATACACGGCACTAGTTCGCCGACGCGCTTGGTGTGGACGGGCAACACAACGAGCGAGAGCGCCGCCAATTTCAGTCTTTAACCGGCATTTTTCGAGCTTTACAAACGTACGCTGAATTATTATCGCGTCATGCTGCGCTTTGCTAAAAGGTCCCGACATGCGTGCCGGTTGCGTTCAGAACAACCACGCCCCCTGATTTGTCCAAGAGAGCAACCACGAGTAGACGAGACAATCATGCACCGCGACTATACTTGTGCTGCCTTGTCAAGGCCCTCGCAGCTTCCACAGTGTTGTAGCCCCACACCCCTGCGAGAGCACGTGGCTTCGTCCGGCATATCATTAGCGCTCGCTGTAAAGCAGGGATTTCCAAACCCCGGCCCGCGGATGGACTTGATTTTTTTACGCGCCCGGTCCGTAACCCGCCAGCTACAAACGCCAGAAATAACTGCCCGTAAGAGAAGGGGGAAAAAAAGGCATTGTGATGCGCATTAAAAGCGTAAACAAAGGTATACAAAAGCATAAGGGAAAACTGCACCAAACCGATGGATATCGATCGCCATAATAATTGTTGCATATCGTTAACACCGTAGACGATTCAGGTTAGATATAACTGGCTTTGTTGTCAGTCTCACGGCATGACGCGCATCCGCTCTCCGCCACCGCCCCAACAAAAGTGCGCAGCGCGCGCGCGCGCTTTCGCCGATTTTGGGACAGATAACGCCACCTCGTGGCCCAAAGGCGAATCGTGCGTTACAATATCGTCATTCCCAGCATTACTATTCGTTGTTTCCTGCTTCATGTTTGTGTAAACATGAAAAAATTCCTTGGCGTTCTCACAAATATCGGGCCTAGTGTCCTCTGTCATGACCCTTGCACATTTTCATCGACCAGATCTATCATTCTCATTAGTCTTCTGTCGTGCGTGAATATGTCAAAGTTCCCATGCGCTTTGATCTATGCCTGGTGAGTTCTGTAGGTCACAATTATTTTATAATTTCATATTTAGCCAGATATGAACCGCAAAAAGAAAGGATATGTAGTCATCCGGTTTACATTTCTTTTTTAAAATTTTGCTCTAGTGTATGTAGATTTCTGCACCCAAATGGCGTATTTAGGCTCTTTTTTTTCTTTTCTATATTTGTTTTCAATGTTTTCTGGAACTCGACTTTGCGATAGGTCTTCAATCAGGCCCCTTAGCCAAAGAAGTTATTAGACCCCTGCTCAGTAAAAAAAGAGGCGCGCTGCAGCACAGCTAAAGCTACGCTAGCTTTGACACCGTAGCACGAAATAGTTGACGCCTAGCACAGGGTAGTCTTCATACACGCGCTTTCGGAGGATGACATCTCGGCCATTTCATCACAAGATTTAGGGTGGCGATGCGGGCTCGTAGCGATGCGGGCAGGCACACATTCAGGCACTCAGTCACCAACTGCTGCGGCACGAAAAACGGCGCCTCCGTCTGTTATCTCTCAGTCGCAAGCGCGGCGTGACCAACCTATCTACTAGTTGGTAATCACGCAACGTACGCAGCAGTGCAGAGTACGGTCTTCAGCGCAACTCCCGGCTGCTTATATTGCACTTGTAATGGGCGCAGTCCATGCACGAGTCTGGCCTCGCACACGCGCATGCCCGCAAACGCGCTCACAATGAGAAGAGAAGGGCTCCCTAAATAAGGGGATTTCTGGAGACAAAGGGGTTTGTCTCCATAAAAAGGCCGGGAGGCAAACCTTATTGTTTCTTGAAAGCCCTCGCCCCACGGTGCCTCTGCCTCCAACATGCTCGCTAATTGAAGTAAAAAATAAAAATCCTTAAAATCAAAGACTGTCGCAAGTCAGGCGCACAATACGACAGGGGATCCACTTCGCCTTTGTGAGAAAATTTGCGAAGCGTCGCGTATTCGTGCGGAGTTAAGCGACAAGGCAGCTAGCGAAAACGACGTGGAAGCCGTCCGCTTCATCTATACGCAGGTGTAAGAAAACCTCAATTCCTGCGGATCGGCTTAGTTTGGCTTTCGCTTAGCTCGATACGGAGTGATTTAGCTGGCTTTGCTGCAACTAGAAGGAACACTTCTCCTTGCATGTGTACGCATCAGCAAAAAACCAAGCACGCAGTGCTTCAGGGAGAAGGCAGGGCCTTTTCAATAATAAATAACCCTCTTCAGGCAAAGTGACAACTACAAAATACAATTGTTCTCATCAAAAAAAAAAAAAAATGATGCAGCGTCAATGAAGCATCAACCCCCCTGATCCGAATTCCAGGCATACGTAAATATACTGTATAAAGGGTCACGTATAAAGGCTCTTTTACGTGTATACCGAAAGCTCACATGACCAATACCCCATTCCCACGACCGTAAAGGTACCTTTAGCTAAGGGACCTTTTATTCTCTGCGGCCAATCAATTACCGATCTTCCGCGCGTAGAGTGTGCTCGCGACCCAAGATCACGGGCTGATTCGCCGATAGCAAAGGTACCTTTATGTTAAAGGTACCTTTATGTTAAAGGTACCTTTATGTTGACCATGTGACTGGGGTATAACAGGAGGTATACGGCGGCAGGCCCATTAGCCTCTTCGACACCTTTTCTTTCACTTGATGTATTTTTAGAGCGCAGCTCTCAGGCGCCCCTTTCCGGGTTGAGTGGCGTCGGCGTCGCCGTCGGCGTAACCGCGCGCGTTGCATTATCGGACGCCACAGTTTCCCCGCTAAATTTAGCGGAGAAATTGAATTGGTGTTGAGGTCACGTGACGCCGATTTCTCCGTTAAATTTAGCAGGGAAACTTAGCCCGCTAAATTTAGCCGGGAAATTTTTCCTAAATTTCCCCGCTAAATAAAGCCGGGAAATTTTCGCTAAATTTCTCGCTACATTTAGCCGGGAAATTTTCGCTAAATATAGTGGGGAAATTTCCCGCTAAATTTAGCGGGGAAATTTAGCGAAAATATTCTGCTAAATCGGACTGGAAGAGGAGAGGAGGGTACGAAGAGGGAGGGGGAGCACACCCTCCGAACCCTCCCCTCCTCCTCAAAAGCTGCGCTCTAATTTCGCGACACAGAGGATTGTAAACGTCTTTCAATTTTGTTTTCCCCGAAAATAAGGAGCAGCAGAACCTACCAATACCAATTTGTCGAGAAATCGTATCGCTAGAACACCAGGTTGCTTTTCTCCTTCCCTCATGCTCAGAAATCTACTCGGCACGCAGCATAAACATATACATATATATATGCATATATATATATATATATATATATATATATATATATATATATATATATATATATAAACAAAAAACGTTGATGCCGTTTTGGTGTCTGCCAGAGAGCCCAATTAGAAAAAATATTAATGTTTAAAAAATATAGTTGTTTTCTTTGTCTTTTTTAGAGAGTAACTTTTTATTTGTTCATTTTAAAGTCATAGTTCCAATTAGAAACTTACTGGGCCTTACTCCCCCTCCTCCTCCTCCTCCTCCTCCTCCTCCTCCTCCTCCTCCTCCTCCTCCCCCTCCCGCCCCCCCCCCCCCCCCGAAACAAAATCCTGGTTACGTGCCTGGTGCTGATAGAATAACGAATACTGACTAAATGGCCCTAGCCAGTTCTCGTAATTCTTCCATCAGTCAAACGTTATTTAACGAAGGCGACAGGTATAGTGACTTGCGCAGCAACGAAGGCCAGCGCACACCTCTTCGTCGACTTTCCCCCCTCCCTCTCGAAGTAGCAAAAAGGAACGGCTAAACAAACGAGAAACCTTCCTCGTACGGGTTGTAATAAAACCTACTGGAATGTTTCAGACTAAAGTAACGGACAAGGTGAGAACGACAGGGAGTCTCCCATAAGCCGCAGTCCCCCTACATCACACAAGAAAAAAGGACACGGAGTTCCTCTGCAGACAGATAACTGGATTAACTGCGAACACGCTCAGAGTATCCTCAAAGCACGTTTGCTTCCTACATGCTTCGAACATGTCTGCAGACAGTTTTTTAAACGTCCAATTAGACGTGACTGTCGTAGAAGATATGGATGCATGGATGGATGTTAATGGCTACAAATTTGTAACGGGCGGTAGCTTGTGCCACCTAGGTTGTCTAAAAAGAGAAACATACGATACCTCCCGCCTCTAGAAGCCAATTTTCTCCCCCTGTCACCAGACAGTGTGGGATATCACTAGGATGACCTTCGGACGCACTAGACAATGTCTGCGGACTGACTTTTGTACGATGTGTAAGCGGTGTGAGGGCCGCTTTAGATGCCCCACCTGTGCTGGCCGCTGCACTCCGCCGTGCTTCGGCTGCGGGTGCGGGATTGAAGGCCCACGAAAACGCCGAAGCGTTATCGAAGGTGGGAAGCTCGCACTGGAGGCGGGACAACGAAAAATACCTCACTGCCATTTTAATCCTGTCAGTGAGCGAGGTTTCGCCAAGGCGATTCGAGAGACTGGTCCCGAAGTGGCAAACAAATGATGTCACACAGAAGGCGGAGTGTCCCGCTGCCGGATGTCGCGATCCTGGCGATTGGTCGTAGAAGTGCTGGCGAGAAGCGCGACCGAACGTGAGATGTCACTGTTGTCGCGACGTCCCAACTTCTCGCTGCCGAAGCTTCCGTGGGCTGCCAGACTAGAGAGCGACCTGCAGCCGAACAGGCGTCTGCCACATCCAGCACACGCTGCTTGGACACCGCCAGGATCGCGACCGGCGACAGCGTGACACTTGCATGACGTCATCAAACAAAAATAAAAAAAACTACTTTTTTTTTTTTTTTTTTAACGCGGTAAACGCACCGGTTGGAGATGCGTTCCAGGCACCATACTAAATCTCCGGATCCGCGAGACATAGGGAGTTTATATTGCAAATCGGGTGCACCGCCTCGCAATCTCTCGTTGCGTAAGGATAACACGCATTCGAAACAAAAGCTAAGCTGCGTTTTTGAACTTTTTGTTCCCGAAGACCTTTCGACCTTTCGTTCCTCTCGTCCCCGCAACTGTTCTTGTCAGATTTTGCTCGCTTTGTCCCAAAACGTTGGGAGTCTTTCGGGAGGAGATCGTTCCCAGAGGCCCGCGGTGCCCTGACGAGCTCTGCCGTTTTCAACCGGCCTTCCGACGGGATTACCGAGCTTTCTCCGTTTGCCGCCGCCGTACGTGATCCGAATGCCGAGCTTCGCCATCGATTACCAATGACGCGCCCAGTTTTCGTTTCCTACATAAACACGAGGGTATTCGGAAAAAAAGTGAGAACACGGGCCTAGCCCAAAACAATGCTCGCAACCTTTCCATTGTAAAAAGAAAAAAAAACAAAGGGGGGGGGGGGGGGGGGGGAGGGAAGTGGGGGCTTTAAAATGCGACAAAAAATATAAAAAATAACTCCAATGTCTTTTTTTTCTTTTTTTAGTAGCGATTTTTTTCTTTGTTTTTTTATATCCGAGTAGATAAATTTTGCGTTAACTAACGGAACGTTTCCAAGAGGCATCTCAGTGCCTCGTCACGTACAGCAAGTTTCTTTTTTGCCCATGCTACCCTAGACCTTAATTCTGTCCGTATAAAAAACAGACAAACAAATACATGCTAAGACAAAAGGGCGCTATGGCGTTGTGTGTTCCGACGTAAAGGACGCTGTGACGTTGCGCGAGGCAAGCATCTGATTTCCGCAGGAGCTGCTTTGCTCAAAATAAGATTTTCCACCCGAGGTGGCGCCAAACTTTCGTAACAGCAAAAAAGAAAAAAAAAAAAAAAAAGAAAAAAAGAAGCGCTAATGGACGTGTTTTTTTTTATTTCTGTGACGTCACATAATTGATTCGTTTCTAGTGAAAATACTTCGTTTCAGCTCAAGTCCAGACGCAACCAACCCCTCTGAGCTAATGGGATCAATCGATCGGCGTCAAAAGCGCATAACACTGGGCCTTTTCTGCTTACGATTGGGTCAGCGACGATAGAACACGTACAGTAGCATGTCGAACGCCGTGACGGTGCGCTTTTAACACTGCCTGATTGGTTCCGACAGCGCGTAACGTCGGCTGCGTCTCGACCGTAAGGTGAAATTCGGTATAGTGATGCCACATCTCTCTGGGAATTCGAGGTCAGAGTCTCTCTCGTGCAGTTCTCGTGTTGCAGAAAGGCTGTGGACCAACGCGCACTGCTGACGTCGGGCCACGGTGCTGGCGCTGCTGTCCGGACGGCGGATGCGGATGCGCATGTGCAGATGTTTCACCTCATACGAATCTATAGGTGGCGCGCACGCGCAGTGGTGCATGCTCACGCCTGATGTGCGCAAACGCAGGCTTGTTTGTAGACAACGTAGAACGCGCCGATAAGTACATCCTTACCAGATACCAATGAACGCGGAGTGTTGCAGCTTTCAATGTATACGGTTTGCGGAATAAGGGACAACCGGATCGTCCAGACAGGCATTTCGCTAAGTCGCAAAAAACGACAATCACAGCGTATACATTTGTAAGCCAAATAAGCTCAAATGTACGCATCGCACGCCAAGTGTCCGTTGATGGCGGAAAGCAAAGTGTCTGTCAACATTCGTTTAATTTCAGCTGTTATAGACAATGATAGACAATTATAGACAATAGACAATGATGCTTTTTATGCTGCCCTAGAAACAGTCACGTCATTCGATTGAAAAGGTTCATGGCATGATTTTAATAATGTTTTTGTAAAACTTGTTGCAATCTTCTCCGTGTGTCGCGATAGTTGTGACTTTGTTGTTTCATGTTCGCGAAATCTTTTTTGTTCGATTGGTTGTCTTTTTATGAACGTTTCCAGTATAGTACCTGTTACGTCATACTTGATTTTTTGTGTATAACCCCCCCCCCCCCCCCCCCCCCACTGTAATGCCGAAAGGCGCTGTGGGTATCAAATAAATAAATAAATAAATCGATTAGCCTGGCGGGCAGCCGAAGTCGGTGCCATAAAGAAAGACGCGAGTTTAGATGGACGCCGGTTTTTATACAAGCCGGGCGTTGCTCCATCGCTCCTTATACAATCGCGTCGCGGGGATAAATCTCCAGGAAGCTGCGTAATATGCGTTTCAGTTATTTGGCCCGAAAGAGTCGGTAGAGAAGCGAATAGAGCGAAAGCCGCATCTCAGGGACCGTTTTGTGTTGCCGTTTCCAAAACTACAAAAAAAAAAAAAAAAAAAAAAAAAAAAAACGAGAATGCAACAAACTTGGACGAAGGATGTTTGTCCTGTTCGTCCTCTTCGTCTGACTCTTTCGTATATTTTTGGATGCAACAAACGTACTGAATTTTGCCACAGTGGAGTCTGCGTAATGTCTCGAGCTTCCGTTTATATATGTGCCGACTCGTAAAAAGTCTAGTACAGGCATTGAATCAGTCCAATAACGTGACCGAAGAGCCGTTTGTATCGAAGCGCTCATCGTAACTGTTTCATTTGCAATGGGTAGAATCATTTCGAAAGTTGCCAATCTGTTCAGGCATTTACGATATTGACTAACATATTATTGGCAATGCATATGCCACGGCTGCTAGAAAATGCTCGTATACCGTTGCCCCCCCCCCCCCCCCCCCCAACACACACGCACACACACACACAAAATAATTCGTGTATCCAGAAGGTCTTGAAGATTCCAATCATTCGCTAGGCTTGAACTTGCGAAAAGACACAACGCAATGTTTTTTTTTTCTTTTTCTTTTTCGTCTGTATTTGTGGGTGCGGCACAAACTACGTCTCGGGAGGGCGAGAATATGGTTCAGATACATTACTAACCTTGAGCGCAAGGCTTCAATCGGCGAAAGGACGGCACTCACCGCTGGATCGAGTCACCAGTGGGTGGCTGCATTGACCCGTTACTGTAACCTTCGACACTGAGGAGCCCCCATTCCGGTGAGTGAATTCTAGCAGCCGATCGAGCACAAGTGTACTTCGCAAACAGGCACTTCGAGAAACGTCCTTCGACCCGGGAGGCCTCGTCTTCGCTATCGTACGAAGCCTTAAAGTTTTATTTAAGAGTCAGTCAAAGGGTGATCCGTGTTGTCGTGCGTGCCTCACCGATTCTGTCGACTCCAAATCTTTCCGCTTTGCCAGGTTCGGTCCGGCGGCTCGCTAACTCCGCAAAATCTACCAGCTAAGAGAAAAGTTTACAAGCTTGCTATCATGCACCCGGCCGTTTCCAAAAAAACACAGCCGCACCGACATTCTTCTTATTTTTTTTTTAATGACTAGGCATACAAAATAAATACGCGATGCCACCCCTATGGTCTACATCGTCTGAAAGCCCAGTCTGAATGGATGGATGAATATTAACGTCTGTACCATTTATAGGGGGCGGTAGCTTGCACCTCTTAAAGTCACAGGATCCCGGGAAAGTAGCGCCATTGCCTTCCCTGCCTGCTAGCCGAACACAAATGTTAACATACGGACGACCAAAACCTCGCAAGGCGATTGGCTAAACAATTTTGGCCCCTTCAAATCTTCGAGAGGGCTAAGATCACCATGGAGCATCATTGTACTGAAGGCGTTCCTCGCCAATATAAGCGTCTTTGGCGCTGTGAATGCAATCAACTTATCAAACATGCCCATCTCCACGGATCTCTTACAATTATTTCAAAACAGGAAAATAAGTTTTCAATGCCGAAAAGCACCGACACCTCACGTGGTGGTGGCAGGAAGATTGTTTCGCCGGCCTGTGGATAGCAAAATTTCGGTGTACAAGAAACGTTTCTATGAAGCTACACGTCACCAGCGAACTTAGATCGGCTCACCAGGAACGGAGAGGTCGGCTCACCAGGAACGGAGAGGTCAAAGAGAAATTGCTCACTTCTAGTATAGTGCCTGGAACGCGTCTCCGACTGGTGTGTTTAGCGCCCTATGCTGCCCATACATCAAAAGTGGTCCCCAAGTGGCAACAAATGACATCACAGAAACCGCAGTATCATGCTGTTGACTGTCGCGATCCTGGCGGTTGGCCGTAGAAATGCTGAGGAAAAGCGCGAGCGAACGCGAGTGTCGCTGTCGTCACGGCGTTCCAGGCGTCCCAACTTCCGGCTGCTGTAGCTTCCGTGGACTGTCACAGTGCGGAGCGACCTGCAGCAGAACAGGCGTCTGCAATATCCACCACAGCTGCTGAGACACCACCAGGGTCGCGACCGGCGACAGCATGACACTTCTATGACGTCATCAGGCGGAAATCGAGGGACCAGTTTTCTGGGCGCGGTAAACACATCAGTCGGAGACGCGTTCCAGGCACCATACTTCAAGGGGCAAAATGGCGACCATACTTAGAGTTACTTTCCCACGACCCAGTTACTTTAGCGCCACCCAGCTAAGGCGTGCTCAGGCAACACCATCTAGAACAATGTAGGCCTCCGAACGCCCCACTCTTCCTCCATGGAACGTTATCACAGTCGGATGGCGCCAACTCGGCAACTAGACCCGAGCCCGACACCGAGTGTCCATCGACGCGCTGATTGGGCCCGAGACCCAGCCGAGCAGTGACGCAGCACTCGTATCCAATCGCTGCCTTCGCTCGATCACACTGCGATGACGTCAAAATTCTAGCGCACAGGCTTTAATTATTCAAAGTGGTGTTGGTTCAGGGTTGCTAGACTGGTGTCCCAACAAAGCGTTTTCCACCCACGGTGTCCAGACTAGCTGTTGGAAGGTGGCTGCTCATGCTTTAGTTGGGCGGCGTGTGAGAGCGCGTACCTTGGTTCCTTCGACGCTGATGATGCGGTACAGGTTGCGGGTGGAGTCGAAGAAGAAGCTCACGCTCACTGCCTGGCTGCTGGCGGGGATCCAGGACCGCTTCGTCTTGGGGTCGATGTGGAACACGTGCGCTTTCGTGGAAAAGATGGGCTGCTCCCTGCAATACCCACAAAGACCGCTGTCAGCCGCTGTCCGCTGTCCGCAATCACAAGGGATTGAGGTGGCGTTCTGACGTCTTTACAGACTCTGCAGTCTGTACAAAGGTACATGTATTTAAACGAGCCTCGTTAAAGAGTTACAACATAGTCGTTGCTCATGTCCTCGCTGTACGACTTTGCGTTGCCCACTGCCGTCTCCGTGTGGTTCGGATCAGGCATCTGGTGGATGCATTCTTATTCAGTCAATTCAAACCGAGCCTCATCAATTACTTTTGAAGACAAAAAATAGTTATAACGCGCGTTTTTAAAATCGGATACGTGTTCTATATTAAAAAGAAGAAACTAAGTGACAAGTTTTCGCTCATGATTTATTCCGTACTGGTTTCTCACGGTATTTAGTTCGTTTTTCTTACACCCAGCCCAGAAGATGGAGAGTCACAGCCCTGAGACAAAAGACGCAAGAAGCGGATCGTGGCATAACGTTGATCAAAGTGCGTCGACATTGAATAGGAAGGGGTCATCTCAAGAGAAAAGTCGTTACACGACTTACTCCACTAAACTTTGTGCAAGTCACACTGGTTCTTCGTAGAAATGTCTTCAATACACATCACGGCTACGTACCCGTACCCATCACGTTTTTCTCGCTATAGGGAGTATTCACTGGAAGCCATATTTGTAGGTGCTGTTTAGAGCGCATGCTCAGAACGAGCTCACATCAATAGGCTGCTAAGACCGGTATTCTCGATAGTGCGGAATGCACGTTGCAAAAGAACTGTGGAAGCTCGCCATCAGCACGTGCTCAGCATTCGCGCACACAGCTATGGCCGCCAGTGAATACTCCCTTAGTGTATAGTATACTTCGTCGATTTACGTGCACCCTTTGCACCTGTGCAGAAAAGTGTAGGGCAATGTACTTCCGGTACGTGTATCGAGATATGACCGGAAGTACAACGCCCTACACTTTTCTGCACCGGTGCAGGGGGAGCATGTAAATCGAACGAAGCTACTATATACAGGATCGGGCACGGTATGTGACGTGCAACGCGATGTACGAAGCACTACGTGGCACTCCAGTTGACAACGCGCAAGCGCGCACACGCCGCCTAAATCGAGCAATCTCCGAAAGGAAAGAAAAACGCGTCGTTCTTTCAGCCAGCGCCCCCCATCTACATCTAATATATATATAAGGTAAAGACAACGCTACACTTTCTATACACAAAACGTGTCTTAAGTACCGACGTTACTTTTCTTTTTTTTTCTCTTCCCTTTCCCTTCGGTCCGCGGTGCGGGTGTTCCCACTCGTCAAGTTCTAAAACAAACCAATCAAACACGACTGACAAAAAATAAATAAGAAAAAAGAAAAACTGCTGGAGTTTGCGAAGAAACCCGACGAATCGACGGAGATTCAAGTGCACTTTTCTCTGAGAAAGGGGGAGAGGGTGGGGGGGGGGGGGGGGGGGGGTTAGTTCCGCGGAAACCCGACCGGGAATGGGAAAGCGAAGAAAGGGGCGCCGCGTGTGCTGCGAAGCGAATTGGACCTCCAGTTCACGAACGCGGCGGCATGGCACCGTTTCGCGTTCGACCAGTTCGATCGCTCGCGAGGCCCGCGGAACCCTCGAGCCCCCCCGCATTGCCAAGTCCGTTGGCCGGCTTCCAACAGAAGAAGACAAAGCTCGGCCCATCTGGCCTGCGCCCACCGCGTATACCGTATTTACTCGCTCGAAATTTCGCGCCGCCCCAGCAGTCGAGGAACGAAACAAACGTGAACTCCGAAGAGCAAACTTTTGACGTTACAGATCATCTCCGCGACTCAGTGCGAATAAAATCTTACCCGCTTCTAGGATAAATAACAGAACTGTACCTCTATTCAGTATAGTTTCTTCGTCAATCTATTCAGTCACAATAAAAAAAAAAAAATAAAAGTCTTTATCAGCCCGAGATCACAGCTGCATGAGGACGGACTCACACTTGGAAAGCGTTCGATCGCCAAACACCGGCGTCCAGCGTTCCACGTTGGCGTTTGAACGTGTTCGAAGAGTGAGTAGAGACCAACGAATCAAAATTCCAGTCAGAACTTGGCTTCCTGACGTCCCCGCGCGCTCTCGTCTCCTCTTTCCTTCAGTTTCTCGGTGCTATACTCTCCACAATCTCCAACAGGCCAGTGATCCCCATCTGCCAGCACTGTGGAGAAGGTGAAGAAAGGGGACACCTGCTCTTTTCAAGCATTATACCACACGTAGTTGAACATCCCGAACAGAATTAAGGCACATATATATGCCGTCAGTGGCCTGTCTTACTTAATCGTTGCAAAACCATTTTTTTTTTCTTTTTACCCGGCTACATCACGGTAAGGCGTGGACAGAGTTCCTCAAGATAAGCTTAGCAGGCAGACTGTCTATGAAGAGCGAACGAAACAAAATGTGTTCCATATTTCTGCCACTCATTTTGAGCGTGTGCGGAGAAAAAAAAAAAAAAGAAATAACGGCCGAACTTCCGGGGAGAGTATGCTACTTCGGGTTGGCTATTGTTTTTACGTGTTTTTGAGGACCCTTTTTGAGGACCCTCAGCAAGTAGCGCATAGTTTAAAAGTCTAACTGCCGAGGACTAACTGCCAAGGACCTCCCAAAATTTACTTATACGGGATCGACATGCCTTCCTCATCCCTCGGGTGAGAGGAAAGAGCGTTTGTTCCTCAAAGAAATGACAAATCGTGGGCGCATGTTCGGGACTACCTATTCGACTAGCCTGGTCCGTATACCTGAGAACGACTTAAAACCTACAAATCCCTAAACGCGTTCAAGTGCTTCGTGAACGGCAAGACATCGGCGGTGGGCACGTATAACTCCCCCAGGCGCCGAAGATACGCGCCGATCCCCCCACAGGGGTCGCCGAGCCGGGTCTTGGTTAGCAGACACTTCCAAAAGTTTTTATTACGTTTTTTTTTTTTTTAGCGCGACGCGAATCTCTGTAATGCACAGTTTTCTAATGTTTTGACTTGCTTGCTTTGGTACTGAAGGTTTCTTTCCCACAACACCGTGCACATTGCATCTGTACGAGCCGTAATGTCCTATCGTTGTACGGGGTGGCACTTACTTGGTCAATCGACGTTTTAGCGAACGAAGTCCCGCCCCCGACTTTTCACTGAACGACACTTTATAACGAATGGTCGGCCTCCGCAAAGCGTCGTGTACGAGTGGTCCAGGTGGGTTAACATTTTTGTAATGAGCCGCCGCAGACTGTCGCCGCGAAGTGGCGTGTACAAAGGGGGGCGAGTGGGTTAAAACGCGCCTCAGTGATACGTCATTTGCTAAAACCTCGATTCGCTCAAATGACCGCTGTTTCGCTAAAACGTCATACGCTAAAACGCCATTCGCTCATGTGATATGGACCCCGGCAGAACATCGAAAATAGGCTAGCACCGTCTGCCAATGCCGTCGTCCTGCGATCACCCAGGCTCGGCGGCGTCGGAGGCGTCGTCTCAAGATAACCGAAATAATTTCACTCGTGACTTTTTGTCCGTGCCATACGCATCGGCAGCACGACACCGGGGCATTTCTATAGAGCTCACAGAATCGCTCGCTATAGTGAACCGAGAGTCGTCGTGCACCCACCCAAACACAAGGTATACACATAGAGGAACCGGAAGTATCTGTATCCCCTTGTCATGACCACCGAAAGTGGCGCGCACACACTGTGTAAGATCCTAACTCGCGCGGTCAACAAACAATTGTCCGCATTTGCCCGGTGCGGGCACTGCGCTTGTGCAGAAACCAGATTCGCGTCGAGTGAAGCGTCTTGCGCATGCGCCGTGCCGACAGCAGCGCCACCGCCGCGGCGTGACGTCAGGACCGCGTGTTGGTGTCCGCATGGGTCTGGAAATTATTTCGAACACCAACTTTCTTCCTAGAAACCTGAAGGTTCCCCCCGGGTGTATCCTCGGGACGGGCATCGATATCATCTAAATCGTTTCTTCCGCTAAACGCAAACTGTTTTCCCAGTTGAAGCATTCTTTTCATACATGGCCGCTCATCGATATAAATGCTCTTAGCCACGCATATTGATGCGCATCTATGAGCCTAAAACTCTTTAATGCGCGAATGACAGTCGATCTGCACGACAGTCTGTATGATCCTGAGTCTATGCAAACGTGGAGCGAAAACTGGTGCGGCCTAGCGGCCAAAGTGTGAAACGGGAATTAAATACGCGAGGTTACGAGGTACGTAATTTTTCTTCCATTTTTTTTGTCTTTAAAGGAAGCCGAGTTCTTGGTAACGGAACCCCCTCCTCCCAGGAATTTTACCGTCCGTCCTCTTCCCCACTGTATTTAGAGGGCAAATTGAATTAGTGTATAACTAATACCCGCGCCACACGGGCAACTCCAATGCCATTTACAACGAATGACATTTGAGCGGACGGCCAATCAGCGCGCGACACTCCGGGCGTAGCGCATTCCACGCGCGACAGATTGCGAGCTGATTTGCCGATCACACAAATGTCATTCGTTGTACATGACATTCGAGTTGCCCGTGTGGCGCGGGTATAACCTATACACCCAAGGTCGCGTCACACGTTGCGCACCAAAATGTGTTACACCCTTATGGTGTATCCACACGAAGGAGAAATCCGCCCCTTTCCTCCGCGGAGCGCGTATCACGTGAGACATACGTCATTCCTTTTTGACGCCTCGCGGCGCCATTCTTCTCCGTGGCGGAGGCGCGGAGGCTTCGTGCTGTCAGCACGAAAGCTTCGCAGGTGAGCGGTGGAGCCGAGGACGGACTTTCCCGGGTTGCTGACGTCACGACATCCCTCCGCAGAGTTCTCCTTCGTGTGGATACCCCTTTAACAGCATAAATCAGCTTGTCCCAGCAAAGCCCTTATGATGCTGGTGAACGCATACGACGCTGGCGATATTATCAGCATCCCAGGGATATTCTTTACGAGCGGCAAATTTACGAACAACCACTAAGTACAGACATTTCCTGCATACGCAGAAACGGAA